ATCGCATCATATGACCCCTTTAAACTGGTTTTCTTGAATGGTACAAAACACAAGCTTCTTACAGCACATCGTCCAGCATCAGATAATAACCCACTCTCATTAATGTAATCTCTCGTCCACAGTCAATTGTGAATACATTTGCCCTGATAAAACCACAAAACCTGACGTAACCTCAAATTCAGGATTCAGGGGGGACTAAGCATAATAATTCAATAATCAACCATTGAAAATCATATTGTCCTTTGATTCATCTAAATACTCAAGGGTGAATAGGTGGTTATGGCCCTGCTAATCATACCATATTGCACAACCCCTTGGACCCTTATTGCATATTGCCCCTAGTGTTCAAGATCTTAATGGACATATAGGAATTTGTTCTCGCTGGGGGAAAAAATGGCAGCTGTGGTTGCCGGAATAATTCTGTAAAAATACAGAAAAAAATACGTTTACAGTTTAAAAATGTAATTTACTCAAATCTGTTTTGTACCTTTAGCATACTGACAACCACCATAATAACACAGTTGGTAAAGAGAAAGACACGTGAAGAATCAAAGTATAGCTTTTCCACAAGATGAGGTAAATACTGATAAAAGGTGCACACGGTATCATAACACATAATACAAAACCCTACAATGGTAACACATGACACTATAATAATACAATAAACATTAATTTAACAACCTCAGATGCAACATAAAACCCTCATGTACATTAATGATAACAAACATTATTACTGATAAAACAAATATTTAAAAGAAATGCTATCAAACGTGAGCTGTCACACAAGGAATTCTGGGAACGGCTGTTTACGGGTTTCCATTGCCAATTATATGATGACTTAAAAAACAATACATTTGTGAATTATATATTAAATCTATTAGTTTTACACCATATAAGAAAATTTACCATTAACCAATTAACAGTTTTTTTTACTGTAGCATTTTACAGTCTTTTACAATTAAAATGATAATAATTTTTTATCCTATTCATAAAAAGTAAAGCTAGAGGATTAGGTCACATTTTATTTGAATTCTCGCTATTAACAAACCATTAACTACGACTTTGGCCTCAATAAACTCTTAATTTGCTACTTATTAATAGTACGGTGGTTGTTAGGTTTAGGTATTGGGTAGGATTAGGGATGTAGAATATGGTCACGCAGAATATGTGCTTTATAAGCACTAATAAATAGCCAATACGTTAATAATAGGCATGCTAATAAGCAGTTAATAGTGACAATTAGTACCTATACTAAAGGATTATAATCTCTACAATCTCTTGATTTATAAAGCAACAATGTTTTCTCTGAGAAATTAGGATATAGGCCTATTCTTTTTGTCTGTAATGTCCTGTTTCAGAGTTTGATATTCATGGTGAAATTGGGCATCCAACTCAAGTGGTGCACAAGAGGACGAATCAGATGACTGTACTGAATTTCTGCAGCAGGCTGGACATAATCATTGTGTCTCTTCTGAAGTCTAATTTCATGACAAACCTTAAAATTAAAGCTTAGACAGCAGTGACACAGCGCATATTACAGAAATAAAGACAAAATTTAAAAAGCAAGTATTAATATTGATTGAAGTCATCCTAGTGCTTGCTTGCACACAACCACTGGCATAATTATTATAAGTATCTTTACAATGAATAAACTAATAAATATAAATGCCCGAGAAAATTCTAGAACAGAATGTCTGGACAGCAGTTATATTTCTGGATAATAACAGATACAGTAACACCTCTGAAAGTGAACTATACAAAAAGGTTACATTTGGCCCATGGTGTGAAGACTTTAATGATCGTTGAGGAGGTCTGGTACTGGAGTGGTTCACATTATCTATATCCAGAACCTGGGTTTTTGATCTAACTCTCTCACTAGACCTCCATGACTGCAGCATCATTGAGGTTATATGGATGTCAACACTGCAAATCATACTATAATGACTATCCCACATGCTTCGCTTGCACTAAACGCTGAATCCATCCATTGTCTTTTAACTGTCCGTTTCCATCTCCCTAACCCCATTAGGATGGATGTGGTCCACATATGATAGAGTTTGGTCACAGCTGTCCTGTTTTGCAATAGTAACCAAAAATATACAACAAAATACATGGAATCCCACCATGAGTGTGAAGAAAAGATTAGTGGGTTTTCTGAAAATAAAATATGTGAACCTGGACCACAAAACCAGTCATAAGGGTCAATTTTTTTGAATAAATAAGCTTTCCATTGATGTATGGTTTGTTAGTATATGACAATATTTGGCCGAGATACAACTATTTGAATATCTGGAATCTGAGGGTGCAAAAAAAATCAAAATACTGAGAAAATCACCTTTAAAGTTGTCCAAATGATAATGAAAAATAATCATGAAAGATTTTTTTTGACAGTGAACTAAAACAAGGACTTTGCAGAGAACATAAGCTTTATTCAAGAGTGGTATTTTGCAGTTAACGTGAACATGAAACTCTACATTTATTTATTTATTTCAATTATATAACATTTAAATTATAGCGCAATTGTTCAATATTCTAAACTGTATTTAATTAGGTCTTTTATTTATTTATTTATTTATTTATGTTTTTATTTATTTACCACAAATGTAAAAAAAAAAAAAAATAATAAAAAAAATAAAATATATATATATTGAAATCTAAATGTTTTGTGAGCATTGAGTTTTTCCAGAGTGTGTTCTTGTATTTATTCAGCATCTGTTTGTGTGATATCCCAGTGATTCTGAAGGCTGTGGGCCTCCCGGTGCACCCATGCTACAGTGATCAGCTTTCTCAAGTGTGACTGCAAGCATTGTTCTGCCAAACAAAGTCCTCACATTGATGTGTAGAACCCGCTTAGCAGACAGAACTTTTTTAACTTTATGCTATTAAGCTGCAAAACACAGATATCTAGATTTATGTTAAGTAACACATAGAAGAACACAGCAAATGTAAGCAATATTTAATGGCAAAATAAAAAAAAATTTAATAAGGAAATTCACGTAAATGTTTCACATTAATTCTACTTATTTTTGTAGAGTTCTTATGTTATACTATCTTAGTATTAAAATATTTTTAAATGTTATATATTCTATTTAAGAATTGATTTAACATACGAATGTTTACATGCTGGTATTTTCTTTCTCAACTGTTTATTTTTTTATTTTTTTAATGCATAATCACTAGCTTAATTGTAATATGTAATGAGATTGCCAAAGAACTTGAGCTGAAAACCTCTGTTGGGGGAGATCCTAACATGACTCTTGTATTGTTCTGTAAGACAACATGACTCATGATAAAAATGTTGACTGACAGGTCCATGGCATTAGTAAGATCCACAATGGAAAAAGGAAGTCCATCTTTGCTCAGTTACCAATACTGTTTGTTAATGAGGTATTGCGTGCTTTTTATATGCCAAACAGTGATTTCTAATGTGTGAAACTAAATGCCCAACAGGAGACATAAGAAAAGTATAGTTTAAATCTTGTAATAGCGTTTATTCTCATGAAACACTAAAGATTATTAAAATAAACGCATTTGTAATGTATTTATAGATAAGTAGAAATTTACATAGAAAAATTAATGGAAAATTAGGAAGCCTATAACACGTTTAAGCCTATATCCTCGGTTATTTTTGTTACGCAATACAGAGCAGCATAAACATGCTGTGATATAAATAAGTTAACTTAAAGTTACAGCTATAGTTTGAAAAAAAAAAAAAAAAGCTTAAAATCACAGAAAAACACAAATGCGCGTCTCAAGCTCACCATTCCATACGCAATAACAAATACGGTAAACCGTAAATGAAAATAAAGCAAGGACGTGTAAAATTCACCAAAGAGGGCGGTGTCTGCCTGAGGCAAGACCACACTAAAATAACTCTTCTGTTTGATCAGTCTATCTGAAATATAATAACGTGGCCGAAATGGTGTGCCTAAACAGATGTTTGTTAAAACCCTTTTTGACATCTTAAAAATAGCCTTTAGCTGACACTTACATTTTTATAAACTTTTGCTACAAGGAATAAAGAAACGCTATTTTTTTCCATATGGAAGCCCCCAAATATTTTTAAATAGGCCTATATTATATATTTTAAGAGCCTTGTCTAAGGAAATATGACTGAAGAATATTATGAATGTAATATGCCTGCCTGAAGAAATACATCCGCCACTTTTTCAAGAGATATTACTTACAAATAGGGAACAAATACTTTCAACATAATTTTATATGTATCCTTATAACGAATTATACAAACAAAAATAAATAAATAAAACAAACCATATTACCTGTAATTCGTCATATATATGCTATTCATATATTATTACAGTAACGCATAAGCAAATTAAATGCACACTTAATTCAGCGTATTTTAAAACTGAGTTTGAACTTCCAACGCTTTGCAAATAAAACTCTATATAAAATATATTATTTTATCATCTTTCCGTTTTAGTGTTAAAAATCCATTCATAAATGCAATATGCTATTACAACTTCTTAACATTCTACAATCTATCATTTATAATCAACCAGATTTTAATTTAAAGGTATATCTATTCATTAATTTGATTTGCTTGTGTTAATCGATTAATTTAATCTATTCATTTAACAAAGAATATTAGACGGACTGTATAAAATCTATTAAAAATATTTAAAAAGTAGCAAAGCGATTTTTACAACTCAAATGCATGTGTTCCTTCTCAGAAACACACTCTATGTTCCTGTACGATTGTCTGTTATATGCAGCATGATGCTATTTGCGTGTCACCTTCCTCACGAAGCTCTACGGGTGAAATCTGCACAAGAGCAGAAAAAATAAACTAAGGCGTACAGCAAGGCTTTTTGTAAATAAGTGACTGTGCGCCACCTCCTGGGGATTTAGAGAAGAGTTAGTAAGAAGCTAAATCTCCTTGTAGTCTAAAAATCACACCGAGTTCATTTAGAACACGTGATATTGTTCAACACAAAAGAAGTACAATTTGTTGTCAAATGAATTTCATTTTCACACATTTGCTTTAGGGAATTTTGCAGGGGAAAAAAAGAAATGACATGTGGGAAGAAGGCCTTTCCCATTGCTGACCTAACGCCATCATCTCATGGACAAAGACCGTAATTAGCGCGCTTTGACGGCGCGGGCTTGCAAATGTGGCATGTTCATTATCGCACCACTACTGCAGCCACTATGCATTTATCTCTTCTAGTAGGTCTTTCTCACCGCAGGCTCGCCGTGTACGGTTTAGATGGGAGAGAGAGAGAGGGGCTACAGACGATTCCAGTTACCTTGACACCCTAATAGACTGCCTTTCCTCAACCAGTGCAATCGAGCAAACCAGTGGAGCAAAAATCATTAGGTAAGCAACATAATCACAATAAGATCTCCCGCTTCCATCGGTGTAGCCTACCTCTGCCCTCTCTCAAGGCTACTCTATGTTTTTATACAATACTTTTGAGCTTTTGCCTCGCTCTTCTCGAAATCTTGTCACTTTCCTCCTCGTATACATCCTCCAGTTAAAAGAGATGCTGCTGACTTCACCGCTGTTTAATCTGCGCGAGGTAAATGACCTCTCGGATGAGCTCGGGTCGCTATCTGCGGCTATAGAAGTATGTTATCACCGTTATTAGAGCACGTTAAACAGTGGCTGAGAGTGTAGAGACACCGGGCGAAATTGGAAGCTTATTGTGTATATATATATATATATACATATATATATATATATATATGAGCATACTCAATGTTCACTACTATATCTCAACATAATTAATTTCCTTACAAACAGTGATCTAGTGCATGCATAACATTCCTTCAATACAGTATTTGTATTATTGTTTTCAACTCTGTGATATGAATGAATTCATGCTACTAAACATTACAGTTCAAAATACTTGTTGTGAGATTCATTGCTGCCAAGATAAGGAGATCTTGAAGAGACATTGAATATTTAGGCAGGAAGAGGCAAAACGGAGATGGTACTCCTGTCACATGTTATCGCGGCGGATGGAGGGGAACGGGGCACTGAGTTGTAACACAACAGATTACCTGAGCCTGTAGTCTCCCGAAGGATGTTTAAATAGAACATAGTCGCTCCTTTTCTCTCTACTTTTTCTCCCCACACCTTCATTTTCACTCGCGGGCCACTCCACCTACCCAACGTCATGTGCAATTTGCCCGAGTCTCTCTACTCAATAAACTGACATTGCGCTCATATTTCCTTTTGTTTCCCCGACGATAAAGGAGTGCCGTTCGCGATACTAGTACGGGGAGGGAATCGCATTTTGGTCCGCGTGTTTCTACAGACCTTTTTTCTTCCCTTTCCTCCCTTTTTTGGCGCACTGTGCCAACATGATTGATTGTGACTCGCAAACCGGGTGTCCAGCTCTGCCCAACAAATGACTTTGGCCCCTACCAGTAGACCTTGACCAGACAGAAATCAATATTGCACCATTAAAATCTATCAAAGAAGAGTTAAGGCTGCAGCTGTCCAAGGCGCCCTTTTGAACATTAAATCCGACACTTGTAGTACAGGGGTAATCAATATATAGTGGTTCACAGATCATTTGTGGTCACCTTTTTGGTCGTGATGGATACTCGGAGGAGTATAATTTAGTGGTTCTTTTACTGTTGTAGATATCCCATAGTATAACAAAAATATTATATATCTCTTCATTGTGTTTCCACTAATTTAGTGGAAATATAAGCCATTTTAGCCATAATGGACCAATGTTGCCAGAAAGAATAAAACGTTTGAGAGTTGACACAACACATAGGTGTTGTAAGATGACCGGGTTTACATGTGTTGTCTGCGGCCCAGTGATAAACTAATGAGCTAATGTTGACTATGTCCTGGCTTTGTTGTTCCTCGCAGCGCTTTCTGCTCATGCACATGATGGACGATACAGTTTGCAAGCTCATACATTGCTATAAAGCAGCTTATAGTGTCCTGTCACTCTGTATCAGCACCGGTGTGATGATAGACATGGTAGCACGATGTATTTCTTAACCTCGCAAATTGCCTTCAGAAAAAAAACATACAGCCATTGTAAGAAAAACGTGCACTGATGTGACTGATATTAATATATCAGGATTAATGGGTAAACGACACTTGTAGTACAGGGGTAATCAATATATAGTGGTTCACAGATCATTTGTGGTCACCTTTTTGGTCGTGATGGATACTCGGAGGAGTAGTGATTCATTTTGTCACCCCATTAAAGCGAACTGTGTCAAGTCGTTCCTTCATTTCATCTGGAAGAGATTCCTATTCCTCAAAGTATGAGGGAAAGTATATATGGGGGAAAGCAGCAAAGGGGGGTTGGTGGTAAATGAAGAGCACCAGCCTCCAGGTTCCCATTTCAATGAGAATCTATAGAGATTTTGTGTCCAGTGGAGTGTGAAAATCCCTTTGAGATAGAACAAACATTCTTGAAGGCCAAACCACACGGCAGATACATACAGAATAGATGGCGGAACATTTGCCAGCCATTACAGATTAAGTTTAACCTGGTCAAATAGTATTTCAGATATAAGCAACTATATGCAGCAACTGTGGATGTAATCAGACTGCAAAGTGCATTTAGTTAGCAGACAAAGCCAATTTTCAAAACTTGCATCAGTTAACAATATATTTACATATCTTTGATTATTGCTTTTTGTGTGTGATTCACTCAGGGCCGTCCTTAGGGGGGTGCAACTGGTGCGGCCACACCGGGCCATGCGGCGAATGGACCCCGGAACGCAGGTGAACCTATACAGCAAAATAAAAAGAATGGAGTCTGTTTATCATTAAAGAAGGAGCATGTTTTTCAGTAAACCTCATGAGCAGCCTGCTGCTGCGTGACACGATTACTTGTACTCAGAGACTGTATCCTGCTTTAACTGTACTGCTTTTCTAAAACCCATCCAGTGCCTCAAGCGATCGTCCGAGTTTTCTCAACCCATATGCTACATTTAATACCTGCTGCGACAAAGATTATTAGTTACATGCAACTGTCATTAAAAATTGATTTATTCACCCTCTGCAGGGAGCGGTTCTGCCCTCCTGATCACAAGAGTGTGCCTTAACAGTATGGTGGGCTTTCTCACAACGCAACCCCATACACTTAATATAAAAAATGTCAAAATGTGTTGCATTTGCATAGTTCATACCTACTCAACTTGCTAATAATCTGTGCTATAGATCTAGTATCTTTTCTAGATGCTTCTTAGACATGTTTATTCAATGCA